CAAGGCTGAGATGGGGGCAGGGAAGCAATTCACTCACTGCAGCAATAGCTGGTTAAAGCCAGAGTCACGTCAGAACTGGCACCCATGGAGCCCTACAAGAAGCCATACAGGGCTGCAGCATTCAGCATAGTCACAGCAAAGAGCACACTGCAGCAACCATGAGTCCCAGGGAGAGAGGCTGTTAAACTGCACTTCTCTCTGGAGATGTGACAGCTACCAGGCAGCAGGGTAGAGCCCACTGCCCTCCCCAGTGGCAGGAGATGGTGAACAGTTCTTCACAGGACAAGAGCAAAGGGTGAGTGAAGCAATCCGCATGTGCTGCATTAGCAGCAGCGTTGTCCACCCCTCAGCACTACCTGCAGTACTCGGCTGCAGGACAGCAGGGATGCCACGCAGCCTGGTTCAGCGCAGGGCAGGAAGCCACATCAAGGGCTGTTAAACCCACACCACTAACAGGTCAGCCACCCCTCTGTGCTGGAAGCTGACAACGACCTGCTCACCCTAGCAACCCCAGTAACATCTACAGGTTGCTCTGTACCCTCAGCTGTGAGAGGAAAGGACTCAACGTGCAAAACCACAAGTAAGAAAAACAGTGCGCATCTCTTGACCGATCTGCAGGGACCCAAGCCTCCCCAGAGTGCAAGCCTTCGCCACAGCACCTGCCTGCGGCACTGGCTGGGAGCCCAGCTCTGCTGCCCCAGGCTGCACAGTGAGTACTGCTCAGCTGGAGCTGTCAGCGTCACCAGCCTTAAAAGGCTGCAATGTGACAAGAACCCAGCAGCAAGGTCCTCAGCCAGAAAGCAGCTGTAAACCGTTACTGCCAGAGAAACCAGACATCCTGCTGGCTGCAGCCTCCCCTGCTCTATCTGGGGAAGGAAACCAAGTGCGTGGCTTGTCCGTCTCTCCAGACCACAGCCAGGCAGGCAGCAGAGCAAAAGCACCCCAGAGCAGAGCAGGCACACAGGGGAAGAGGTTGAGACCAGCTGGCACATGGGGGCTTGTGTCCACCCGGGCCTCAGCATGGTCAGCTGTCAGCTCCCATCGGTGCAGATGACATTCACAGGTGCTCACGGCACACCAGTCCAGCACAGCATGGACCAGCTCCCGCCAGATAACAAGGGCCACCCTGGGCCCAGCAGCCCTCAGCACAGGGGGAACGGCTCCCTCGGGGCCAGCAGGAAGACATGGGAGCTCCAGGGCAGCTACAGGCTCCATGAGCTTAGGGCACAGCCCAGGCCCTCACCGCAGGCAGCACAGCAGAGACACAGTACTTTCCACACTTGTGCATGGCACCCCATCCAGCACTCAAACCCAAATGACAACAGTAAAAAACTCAGTTTATTTCCCTATAAAGGCAGAGCTTTCCATTAAAAAACAGCTCGTTTCACTTGTGAGAGGGTGTGGGACTGAACTGCAGGGGCAAGGCCTTCCTCACTCACTGCTCCAGGCCAAGAGCTATTGCTCCCTAAGGGTCACACATGCTGAGCAAGTCTTCCACCATCTCCAGGAGGCTGCTCAGCCTCAGCTGGTACCCAATTCCCGCAATGAGGAGCAAGGCAGGAGAAACAAGCATCCTGCAGGCTCAGAGGACATGGGGTGGCTCTGCCTGCACTGGGAGTGGGCAGAGCGAGGAGCACCGGTCCACCAGCCTGAGCTGGGAGCAGGGAGCAGCAGCAGTTTGAGGTGGTTCATGCAAGTGGAGAGCAGGACAAGGAGCAGGTGTCGCAGTCTGTGCACTGCATGGCAGCGGTGCCAGCAGACCCCGTGCCTGGTGGGCAGTGCCGGTGGCAGAGGCAGGCACTGTCTGGCCCGGGTGCAGGCACAGGGTGAATCCTGAGTGGCTGGTCCATTGCTGCAGATATTGGGCTTAGCCCAGGGGAGTCTTGGGGCCAGCAG